CCTCCTCCTCCCCCTCCTCCTCCGCCTCCTCCTCCTCAGGTCTTCGTCGCGGGCACGGCGGCGGGGATCAGCTGCGTCTATGACACCATTCTCAATATTCTGTACTTCGGGGAAGCGACAGGCAGCGAGACCGAGGGTGATCCAGATTTCCAGTTCATCTGTCTCGGGGAGTACACGACTACTGAAACCTCCTCGTCGATCACGACTTCCAGTGCAACCAGCAGCACAACTGCGACAACCAGCGCAACCAGCAGCACAAGCGCAACCAGCAGCACGACAGCCACCAGCAGCACCACCGTGAGCAGCACGACGGGAACCAGCAGCACCACCGTGACTGGCAGCAGCTACAACGACGGCTACTCCCTACTGCCTGCCGGCCTGACCTGCTACGAGGTTGGGCTCCCCGACGTGCCGAGCTCGACGGATTGCCAGAACCTCGCGATGGTTGCTGCTGGCCTGAGCGATAAGTCTTTCACTGGAATCCCGGCAAACTTGGGGTTCAGCTGTGTCTACAACGACGTCACGGACGGCGGCGTTCTCTATTCCACAACCACTGGAGCAGCCACACAAGCAAACTCCGACTATCGGTACATCTAGGGGAACGAAGAATGACATAAACATAAAAACTCGGAGGTCCGCGCGGATTTCTCGGATCGGCGCTGGACCCCCTCCCTGGCACGCGGAGCCCGCCATGGGATCCGCGCGGACCTCCGAATTTTCATGTTTAGGTCATTCTTCGTTCCCCTATACATCTGCCCGGGGACATACACGAGCACAGTCTCCTTCTCCGTCACTACGACCCTGACGTCAGGGCCTGGCTTCTCGCTCCTGCCACTGGGCTGGACGTGCCCCGACGCGGGGCTGCCCGACATCCCGAGCGAAGATAATTGCTTCACCACTGCGGCGGCGCAAACGGTTAGGCGGTGACCGCTGAACTTGAGTCACTCCCCCCCCTCCTCCTCCTCCCTCCTCCTCTCCTCCTCCTCCTCCTCCTCCTCCTCCTCCCCCTCCTCCTCCGCCTCCTCCTCCTCAGGTCTTCGTCGCCGCGTGCTCGGCTGGCGGGGATCACTGTGGGGGAGCGTCTATACACCATACTCAATATTACCTGATACTTCGGGGAAGCGACAGGCATCGAGACCGAGGGGTGATCCTTCCGAAACAGATTTTCCAGTTCATCTGTCCTCGGGGAGTACACTACTACTGAAAACCTCCTCGTCCGATCACGACTTCCAGTGCAACCTGCAGCACAACTGCGACAACCAGCGCAACCTAAGCAGCACAAGCGCAACCAGCACACGACAGCCACCAGCAGCACCACCGTGAGCATACACGAGGGGAACCAGCAGCAACCATCGACACCAGTGACTGGCAGCAGCTACAACGACGGGCTACTCCCTACTGCCTGCCGGCCTGACCTGCTACGAGGTTGGCTCCCGACGTGCCGAGCTCGATGGATTGCCAGAACCTCGCATGGTTGCTGCTGGCCTGAGCGATAATCTTCACTGGAAATCCCGGCAAACTTGGGGTTCAGCTGTGTCTACAACGACGTCACGGACGGCGGCGTTCTCTATTCCACAACCACTGGAGCAGCCACACAAGCAAACTCCGACTATCGGTACATCTAGGGGAACGAAGAATGACATAAACATAAAAACTCGGAGGTCCGCGCGGATTTCTCGGATCGGCGCTGGACCCCCTCCCTGGCACGCGGAGCCCGCCATGGGATCCGCGCGGACCTCCGAATTTTCATGTTTAGGTCATTCTTCGTTCCCCTATACATCTGCCCGGGGACATACACGAGCACAGTCTCCTTCTCCGTCACTACGACCCTGACGTCAGGGCCTGGCTTCTCGCTCCTGCCACTGGGCTGGACGTGCCCCGACGCGGGGCTGCCCGACATCCCGAGCGAAGATAATTGCTTCACCACTGCGGCGCAAACGGTAGGCGTGACCGCTGGAACTGAGGTCCTCCCCCCCCTCCTCCTCCTCCTCCTCCTCCTCCTCCTCCTCCTCCTCCTCCTCCTCCTCCTCCCCCTCCTCCTCCGCCTCCTCCTCCTCAGGTCTTCGTCGCGGGCACGGCGGCGGGGATCAGCTGCGTCTATGACACCATTCTCAATATTCTGTACTTCGGGGAAGCGACAGGCAGCGAGACCGAGGGTGATCCAGATTTCCAGTTCATCTGTCTCGGGGAGTACACGACTACTGAAACCTCCTCGTCGATCACGACTTCCAGTGCAACCAGCAGCACATTTGCGACAACCAGCGCAACCAGCAGCACAAGCGCAACCAGCAGCACGACAGCCACCAGCAGCACCACCGTGAGCAGCACGACGGGAACCAGCAGCACCACCGTGACCGGCAGCAGCTCCACTACAGCCACCGTCACGACGACCGAAAGCAGCACCACCAGCGCCACGATGACTTTCACCAGCACCGCCACCACCGGGGTGTACTCCCTGATGTCGGAGAATCAATTCTGTCCTGACTTTGGCCTCGAAGACGTGTCAACCCAAGACGAGTGCTATGAAGTGGCGCGGCTCGCCGTTGGCTTGTCAGACAAGGGGACGTATCCTGGCACATTCTCGGGGTTCAAAGGCTGCGTTTACAACACCGGATCTGACATAGTCATGTTTGCGAATGACGGGGACGCCACCACAACGCTAAGCGGTTGGCAGTACATTTGTCCAAGCGCGACCACTACAACCACTACGGGGACCTCCACTGTGAGCAGCACGACGGAAAGCAGCAGCACCACTGTAAGCAGCACCAGTGCAACCAGCAGCACCACTGTGAGCAGCACGACGGGAAGCAGCAGCACCACTGCAAGCAGCACGACGGGAAGCAGCAGCACCACTGTGAGCAGCACGACGGGATGCAGCAGCACCACTGTAAGCAGCACAAGTGCAACCAGCAGCACCACCGTAACCAGCAGCACCACTCGCAGTAGCACCGGTGAGACCAGCAGCACCACTGTAACCAGCAGCACCACGCGCAGTAGCACGAGTGCCACCAGCAGCACTACCGTGACGACCACGACGGCCACCAGCAGCACCACGCGAAGTAGCACAAGCGCAACCAGCAGCACAAGTGCAACAACCACAACGGCCACCAGTAGCACCACTGTGACCACCACGACGGGAAGCAGCAGCACCACTCGCAGTAGCACCAGTGAGACCAGCAGCACTACCGTGACGACCACGACGGCCACCAGCAGCACCACGCGCAGTAGCACGAGTGCCACCAGCAGCACCACCGTGACGACCACGACGGCCACCAGCAGCACCACGCGAAGTAGCACAAGCGCAACCAGCAGCACGACGGCCACCAGTAGCACCACTGTGAGCAGCACGACGGGAAGCAGTAGCACCACTGTGAGCAGCACCAGTGCAACCAGCAGCACCAGCGTGACCACAACGACAGGAACCAGCAGCACCACTGTGAGCAGCACAAGTGCAACCAGCAGCACCACCGTGACCACCACGACGGCCACCAGCAGCACCACCCGCAGTAGCACCAGTGAGACCAGCAGCACCACCGTAACCAGCAGCACCACGCGCAGTAGCACGAGTGCCACCAGCAGCACCACCGTGACGACCACGACGGCCACCAGCAGCACCACGCGAAGTAGCACAAGCGCAACCAGCAGCACAAGTGCAACAACCACGACGGCCACCAGTAGCACCACTGTGAGTAGCACGACGGGAAGCAGCAGCACCACTGTGAGCAGCACAGACATGGGCTCCCCACGACGCCCACCAGTAGCACCACTGTGAGGCAGCCAGCGACGGGAGCTCAGTCGAGCGATAAGCAGCAGAGCAATGCAACAAAACGAGCAGCACAAAACACACCACGAACGACAGGGACCAGCAGAACCACTGTGAGCACCACGCAGCGCAACCAGCAGCAACCACCGTGACCACCACGACGTGAAGCATCAGCACCACTCGAGTAGCACCAGTGAGACAGCAGCACTACCGAACCAGCACAACCACGCGCAGTAGCACGATGCCAGCGCAGCCGCAGCACCACCGTGACGACCACGACGCGCACCAGACCAGCACGACGCGAACTAGCAGCTTAGCGCACCAGCAGCACCAGTGCAACAACCACACGGCAACCAGTAGCACCACTGTGAGCAGCACGAGTGCAACCAGCAGCACCAGTGTGACCACAACGACAGGAACCAGCAGCACCACTGTGAGCAGCACAAGTGCAACCAGCAGTACAACCGTGACGACCACGACGGCCACCAGCAGCACCACAGTGACCAGCACGACCACGCGTAGCAGCACCAGCGCAACCAGCACCACCACGCGCACCAGCACCAGCGCAACCAGCAGTACAATTGCTTCCAGCACGACGGCAACCAGCACTACCACTCGCAGCAGCATCAGCGCTACCAGCAGCACAACTGTTTCCAGCACGACGGCAACCAGCAGTATTACTCGCAGCAGCACCAGCGCCACCAGCAGCACCACAGTGACCAGCACCACCACGCGCAGCAGCACCAGCGCCACCAGCAGCACCACTGTGACCACCACGACGGGAAGCAGCAGCACCACTCGCAGTAGCACCAGTGAGACCAGCAGCACTACCGTGACGACCACGACGGCCACCAGCAGCACCACGCGCAGTAGCACGAGTGCCACCAGCAGCACCACCGTGACGACCACGACGGCCACCAGCAGCACCACGCGAAGTAGCACAAGCGCAACCAGCAGCACGACGGCCACCAGTAGCACCACTGTGAGCAGCACGACGGGAAGCAGTAGCACCACTGTGAGCAGCACCAGTGCAACCATCAGCACAGCGTGACCACAACGACAGGAACCACAATCACCACTGTGGAGCAGCACAAGTTGGCAACCACAGCAACCAACCGTGACCACCACGACGGCACCGCAGCACCACCCGCAGAGCACACAGTGAGACCAGCAGCACCCCGTAACCCGCGCACCACGGCGCAGTAGCACGATTGCCACCAGCACCCCACCGTGACGACCACGACGGCCACCAGCAGCACCACGCGAAGCAGCACAAGCGCAACCAGCAGCACAAGTGCAACAACCACGACGGCCACCAGTAGCACCACTGTGAGAAGCACGACGGGAAGCAGCAGCACCACTGTGAGCAGCACCAGTGCAACCAGCAGCACAAGTGTAACCACAACGACAGGGACCAGCAGCACCACGCGCAGCAGCACCAGCGCAACCAGCAGCACCACCGTGACCACCACGACGGCCACCAGCAGCACCACTCGCAGTAGCACCAGTGAGACCAGCAGCCTACCGTAACCCGCAGACACCACGCGCATATCACGAGGTGCCACCAGCACTCCCCACCGTGGGGACACCGACCGGCCCACACAGGGAGCACAACGCGAACTAGCACAGCGCAACCAGCAGCATCAAGTGCAACAATCCAGGAACGGCCGACCAGTAGCACACCACTGGGAGCAGTGCACTAGTGCAACCAGCAGCACACAGTGTGCGCACAACGACAGGAACTCAGCAGCACCACTGTGAGCAGCACAAGTGCAACCAGCAGTAACTACCTCTGTGAGGAGCACCGTTGTCACCAGCAGCACTTCACAGTGACCAGCACTGACCACGCGTAGCAGCACCAGTCGCAACGCGCGATCTGAACGTCGGCCACCAGCACCAGCGTAACCAGCAGTACAACTGCTTCCAGCACGACGGCAACCAGCAGTACCACTCGCAGCAGCATCAGCGCTACCAGCAGCACAACTGTTTCCAGCACGACGGCAACCAGCAGTATTACTCGCAGCAGCACCAGCGCCACCAGCAGCACCACAGTGACCAGCACCACCACGCGCAGCAGCACCAGCGCCACCAGCAGCACCACAGTGACCAGCACGACCACGCTCACTAGCACCAGCGCAACCAGCACCACCACGCTCACTAGCACCAGCGCAACCAGCACCACCACGCGCACCAGCACCAGCGTAACCAGCAGTACAACTGCTTCCAGCACGACGGCAACCAGCAGTACCACTCGCAGCAGCATCAGCGCTACCAGCAGCACAACTGTTTCCAGCACGACGGCAACCAGCAGTATTACTCGCAGCAGCACCAGCGCCACCAGCAGCACCACGGTGTCAACAGCTACTGCCAGCTCTACATCGACTCTATCTTCGGTTACCGGAACGTCTTCAACCACATTGAGTTTAACTTCGACGTCGACCAGTAGTGTGTCTACTACCTCTTCGAGTTCGGGAACAAGCTTGACTTCAGTGACGGAGAGTTCCACCACCACCATCAGTTCCAGCACAAGCCTGTCGTCGACCACTGGGACTTCCAGCACGAGTGCATCTTCGTCCACAACTCGAACATCTCTGACGCAGACCTCGACCACAAGCCTGTCTTCTACCACGGAGAGCTCCACCACGACTCAATCTACAACCACGGTGTCAACAACGACTGTCAGCTCTACATCGACTCTATCTTCGGTTACCGGAACGTCTTCAATCACCACAAGTTCTTCCTCAACCACCACTTTGACGTCTGCGACGGGGACTTCAACTACGACTTTTACCAAGACGTCGACTCTTTCCACAACCACGTTTACCACAACCTCGGTTACTTCGACCACGGACAGCTCAACCAGTCAGTCGTCCACCACGACGGCCACGAAAACATCGACTCTTTCCACAACCACGTTTACCACAACCTCAGTTACTTCGACCACGGACAGCTCAACCAGTCAGTCGTCCACCACGACGGCCACAAAAACATCGACGCTGTCCTCAACCACGGTCTCGTCGACCACGTCTGCGAGCTACACAGTCACGTCCACCACGACCGCGAGTAAAACAGAGACGTCCACCACGACTGCCACTGAGACGACGTCGATGACGTCCAGCACCACAATATCGACCTCCGTGACGTCCACAACAACAATCTCTACAACCGAGTCGTCATCATTAACCAGCTCCACCACGTTTCACTCAACGACCGCCTCCAGCCTAACGGCATCAAGCAGGACAGAGACGGTAACCACTGGTACGGTAACCACTGGCACGATCACCACCACCACAGCGACTCCTGAGCGTTTTTCTTTCGTCAAGGCTGATGTCGCGATGTCTTTCACAACCTCCCTAAACGAAACATCGGTAGAAGTTGTTGTTCGTGCAGCGATTGCAACCTTCTTGAACCTGTCGCAGTCGAAGGTCACGATCAACTCCGTTGTCGTCAAATACACGTCAAAACTCGTGTCGTTTCAACGAAGATTGGCCAGTCAAGTGTGGGACATCGACTACACAATTACAGTTGAGGGTACATACACGGACGAGGCCGAAGAGGCATTGTTGCGTTTGTATGACAACACTTCGCAGTTCCATGAGTTTGTCGAGAATGAGCTCGATGAGATAGGGCTTCCTAGTGACATCGTGGAGTGGGTGGAATCGTCGGTGCCCGTGGTGGAACTTTGGATGTACACTACAGCGACGTTGACTTCCACGTCGACGCTGACCTCCACGACGGTGACCTCCACGTCGGTGACCTCCACGTTAACGTCCACGACTTGCTGTGTATGTGCTCTCCCTATGTTCGCTGGTATTCCTGTAGGGATAAGTGGACCCGGCTTCACTTCATCATCGGGGTTGGATACCATAGTACGCATCGAATGCTCGGGCATTGAATATGGAGACAGTTGCGAGCCAGTTTGTGGTGTGGGGCATGTTGCAAATGGGACAATGGTCTGCAGCGACGAGACGGAGATGTTCGAGGGACATGCTGACTGCGTGCCTGACACTTGTGTTGGCTGTCCAGCATTGCCGACCGGTTATGAGACAGAGGATGCAAATTGCGTAAACATGCTTTACCCCGAGACATGCAGCATAATTTGTTCCGAAGGCTACGAGAACTTACTTGGGACCTCCATGGAAGTTCAGTGTACAGCCAACACGTCTTACCATCTGTCAAAGGGTGACGGGTCTTGCACAGAATCGCGTTGCTACGCATTCGCGCCGCCTGGCATGTTGAACGTGGCCGACAGCTCCTCTTGCATTGGTACTGCGAGCCGTGAGTCGTGCTCGCCAGTTTGCGATGACGGTCATCAGCTGGTTGAGCCAATCAATTGCACCTTGGGCTCGTTTGAGATGATTCCGGTGGTCTGCGTCTCCGATGCGGACGCGGAGGCGCTCGAACGTGTCGAGGTATTGCTGGTGGAGATTGCGTTCGTTGCCAGTCAGGCGAATTCGGGCATTACGGCGGAGTGGGCTGGCGGCGGGACCAGGGTTCCGATGCAGAGCGCGCTCGGCGACGTTTTAGGCCTGTTCCCAGAGCAGGTTTATTTGCTGGAGATGAAGGACCTGAACTCAGACTCAGCGTCTGGCATTCCAGCGAGGCGTTTGACAGGAGAGGAGGGGCTGTTCGTCAAACTGTCGCTCCAGCTGTACCCGATGAACGACCGCACGACGGTCGAGGGTGGCCTGGCCGACCTCGGGACGAGCAATTTCACCGGTAGCTTCGTCAGCTTCTTGCAGGAGGTCGGCGTCGCGGTGCCGGCGGGGCTCCCCACGGCCGCGGTCGTCGCCGGGAAGCCCGTGACCACTCTCGAGAGCGTGCCCGTGGCGCGCTGGGCTGCCAGGACAGAGTGGTCCGTCTGCAGCACGACGTGCGGCGAGGGCGAAGTCACCCGCGACGTCGATTGCCTGACGGGCAACACCAACCTGTGCAACGCAAACGCGCCCCCAGGTTTCACGCAGGACTCGTTCGAGCCAAGCTCGCTCCCATGCAAGTCGTACATCCAGTGCCCGTACGACTGGACGTGCCCCAGCGGCCCGGACGAGGAGACAGGCGAAGGCTGCGAGGTACAGGCGGGGTTAGTGTCCGCAGCCATCGCCTTCTCCGCCGCCATCTGCTGCTTCCTATCCATCCGGTACGTCAGGAACATGTGCAGGCAGCCCGTCGGCGGCAGGTTCCGCGTAAAGGTGGAGGGCCGCGAGAGCAGGGGCACCATGGTCGACTGGAACTTGGAAGACGGCTTCTCCACCGAGGACGGCGTTACCAAGCCGAGGCTCAAGTACTCGTTCGGCGATGGGCTTTTCGCCTCCTTCCAGCACGAGCGGGAGGCGGGCCGCGCCATCCTGACGCCGAGCGATGGGGAGCCCAT